AAATGACATAAATGACAAGTTCCAAAAATAGCATTTTCAATTAAACATTTGTTAACGCTTTCGCAGCTTGAACTAGTTAATTGTACAGGAGAGGTATACGTAAATATCTACACATACACTCTTGAAAAGATCGTTTTTATCGGGTCCAAAACCCTGTTTAGAGCCAAAATTCTGCAAAATATCGCGCCTAAGCAGGCCAAGATTTAATCAAATTTTAAATTATTTAAATTATGAGGTCGAATGATTTCAAAAATGCTCTTTAATCTGGGCTGAAAGCGTGTGTGTATGTGTATGTGTTTATATGATCGATCAACCTGTAAACGATGTTAGCGGATGCTGAATCCTGCAAAGAAGTTTAAAGTGCTTCCATTGATACGCTAGAAAACAGTTTTAAGCTTCTTTTCTGGATAGAGAGATGCAATCCTATCTGCGACTATACCCAACATAAAAACAAGCAGTTTATACAAATAAGTTAAGGATTTAACATCAAAGAACCCAGTTATCTGCTAAATGAAAGAACATAGATGATGATGATGATGATGACGATAAAGAAACGCTTAAACTTGATATTTCACACGTGCTTTCACTTCTATGTAGCCTTAACCAACTACAACTTGGATGCTGATGCTCAATAAAAATTAATTGTGATTCATTAGTAAAGAGTACACGCTTCTACTGATTGTGGAACCATGTAACGCAATCTTGACAGCATCCATATTTAATAATCTCTCCATCATCTTCTGGATTGTGTGGTGCTCATAACTAAGTTTTTCGTTGCTAGTATACGATAAAGGACCGGATAAATTGAAGAAAACTTCATAAGTAATGGATAATGATGCTGTACTCATACAGCTTCTTTGATCAATCAATATCTTGAAAGCCCGCATGAACTATTACTATTTACTCATCTAATCCAAATTAAAAATCTAAAAAAGAAGTGTCTTGATGCGAAGATTGGGTTTATCTTTCTATTTTTCTACATAAAAGTGCAAAATTAATAAATCTGACAGGATGAGAGTCCTTATGGTTTACCTTTTCTAACATCAAATCTAATATAAATTTTACAATCAACGCCGTTCTATAAGCTGTCCAAAAGTCAGTTAACCGTTTTTATTTTATGTGTTCCAACATACTGTACTATACACGTAAACATGAATCAGAGTTCAGAAATACGTTTTAGTCCCTTACGAAATTATTGAAAATATAAATTAATTATATGAATAAGACAGCAATTTATTCTTTACAACAGTTAACTGAATTTTGAATCACACTGTTTATGTATCATTGTGTAATTTTACAGTATTATATAACACTAAACAGTGCTAAAAATGAGTGAATAACACCATTACAACACTTTATTTATCATCAGAAAGATAGAAAATGTTGCCATTTATTTTATTCTACTGTAGGTCTATCAATAGCAATCTTTCAATATGGTAAAGGTAGGGCCTAATTTGCATATAAGCTAAACAAGCTGCAGCTTAGGGCCTCGCGTTATGAGTCTACAGCACATTTTTACATATATCATTATTTGATAGAAAGAAAGGTTTTTTAAATATTATAGTTTAAGGCCACAACAGGTCCAAGTCCAGCCCAGGTTATTAAAGAATATTTTTATTATAAATTTACAATTATTTTATTATATTCATATGTTTTAAATATGTAAAACTTACGATTTTGGATAAAAATTTTGAATTTCTGTAGGAAACATAGAAAATAATAGAAAATAACTTATTTTACATCTTATTATAAACATGAAAAGTTAGTATTTATAGACCCTTGAGTGTTCAAAATGTAAATTTTTACAGAATTTACATAATTTTGCTTCGAAATTCAACATTAAATCATTAAATTCTTATTTAAAAACATAATAATTTTTATATAAACATCATTTATCAGTTTTAAAATCCATAAAAGACTAAAAAAATTTTATACATTTTGAATAGAGAATGCAACACAAGCTTAAGAAAATTAAACTTAATGATAAATAAATAAGATTTCCATACGAATATACTAATTTTCCTCCATTTAAATATTTAAAAATTCCCATACGAATTTACAGATAATCATTATTTAAAAAAATAGTAATAAAAATTTAGTGAATAAACACATTAATGGGTGGATAAGAAAGAGTAAACGGCTAAGAATTTATCATTAATAATATATCATGCAGAAAGGCAACAATTAAGCCAAAAGTTTCACTATTGAATAATAAATAAATGAATATTTTACTAGAAAATTAAAATATTTATCTATTTATCTTACATGCCTTTCCTCTTCTATAAATCTCCATGATAAGTATTATAGAAAAATATAGAGTCTTCTTATATAAATAAAAATATGTTAAAGAGCTAATTCTATAGTAAATATATTCTTTAATCATCTAAACTTTGACATTATAAAGTTATTAATTAATTAAAATCACAAGAATAATTATAATTACTAGATTTTCTAATCAATAATGAGTTTTAAAAAGTCATGTTATAAATCTTTACAAGTTATTTTAGATAATGATAAATGGTTTAAAAAATATTAAATTTTTTAAATTTATATATTATTTCTGAAAGTTTTTTCTTATAAAAAATATAATTTAGAGTATATAGATAATTAAAACGTCATTAACACTGTTGGGATGATTGTTTAGTGGATAAATTCATTAATTTTTCAACCATTATTCCAAGCATAAACAAAATTTATTAATATTTTTTAATACAAATTTCTTTACTTTATATAAAATTAATTTGATTTTAAAGAACAAAATAAATTCTAAATATAATTTATAAATGTTGTAAATTAATTATGATAAATTATATTAAGTTCATCAATTTTAAGAAGCCTTTCAGTCAATACACCCCTGTAAATCCGTCTTCACTGCACGGTTTTCTAAGATAAAATTTTTTTACTTCTTAATACAATAATGTTTAAATGAGTATTAATTAAAATATTATTAAAATTTTGTCACGACAAGGGAAATATATTAATCTTTCAAGAGATAACGAAATTCAGAAAGAGAAATTAAAAGCTATAATGCAAAACTTAATGACAAAAATGGAGATGTAAAATGATTGCCTAAAGTTAAAAATCATCGTCACTACTACTTTAGAAATTGGCTATTTTTCCTTTCTGTAAATTCTGAATCTATTAATAACCGTATAAAGTGTAATGCGAAGTCTTTTCTTTGAATTTTTAACAATATATTTAAAGAGATGAGAATAATAAATAAATTCTGTTCACCTACAATCGATTCCTTTAACCAATAAATCAAATAAGATAGTTTTAAGAGAGAAAAAATCGTAAAAAATCTGATAGATTTACAATATTTTATTATATTCTTTCTTCTTCAAGTTTTAAATTTAGAAAAATAAAAAAAAAAATTTATGTTAGAAACGTTTGCAAGGAAGAGTCCAGGAGAAAGATATTTCTCTTCCTCCTCTTCCTCTTCTCCTCTTTTTTTCTTTGCACTTTTTGCGGCTTAAAAAAATCGAAATATTGGGATTCTCAACCAATTTCCTATTTTCTACAATCTTTCCTTTCGACTTTTTAGTAATTTATAGGTAATACTTTACTAGACTTATTGTGAGTTGGAGTTGAAATTGGAATTAAATTCATCTAGGATTTCAGAAGAAAATTAAGTGAAGCATATTAAAATCTAACCTTAAATGAGATTAAAATACGATAAATTCAGTTATAAATTATGTTTTTTATATTTATGAATAGGAGGATTTTCCTAAACAAGAAAAATATTGAGAAAATTTGGTAGGATCACTTTAATAGATCGACTAGAAAGCAATGTACCTTAATTCTATTGAGAATAACGAAATAAGATAAGACGAGATAAATGATCGAACATTATCACTAACATTGAGTAAGTTATTTTCCATCTCAGACTCATTTTCTCGCTCAGAAAACATGACATCAATTAAGTATACACAAATACAAATTCTGTGTCTGCTTAATTGATGCTTCCTTAAATTCTGTCTGCTTAAATTCTGCGTTCGACTAAAATCCTCCATTCCCCCGTTGTTTGGCCTACTTAATCCTCATTTTAGTCGATTCTATATCATCTAATATGTTTGTTATTCAATTTATAAAATTCTCTGCATAACTTCTTCAATCAAATTCCTAGTTTTTTAAAATTTATCCTATTGAATTATCTACTACTGCAACCATCTTAGTAAAATCATCTGTTACTTATTACTCGTTTTATTGTGTGTAATTTTTATTATTTATTCTAACGACCTTATTATTTTATTATTAGTTTTACTACCAAATCTTCCGTTTTCTGATCAATTTTAGTATATTCCTTAAACACATTATCGTTATCGAATCCTTTATCGCTACCCATTCTACGAACCCTCTGTTTTTAGTATTATTTTTTAAATTTTCTCTATTAAATTTCTGTACATTAACGATAGAATTATAAATATTATCGAATATTCTTTCATATTAATCGTTTAATTAATGGAAATTTCTAATTTATCACATTAAATTCCAGTTTTTTTATTACCCCATTCTACTTAAGTCCGTTTCGCTATTCTCTCTATATTCACCCCTAAATATATTTTATTACTAAACCTACTAAATTATTCGTCTTATTATTTTGTTGTTAAGACTTTACATTATTTATTTATCCTAATAAATCTTCGTTTCTTATTCGTTCCATAAAAAACCTCCGTGTTTCCTTCTCGCCCCTATAAAAAAACCTCCGTTTTCTCGTTATTCATCACTATAAAACTCCGTTTTTTTGCAATAAATACGCAAAAAATCATTTTAAAATCGATTTTTATAAGATCCAGTAACGAAAAAAGGGTATTTTTTCTGTACCATCCAACATAACACGTTATTTTTCTTATCCCTACCCCTATTAGACCCCCTTCCACCAACCATGAAATTACTTTATATACACATAAATGGAGTACATATGGTCAAGAATAACAAAAAATAAGGGGAAACAAAAGAACGGGGGAAAAAACAAAAAAAAAAACAAGACTAGCACTTACTTGAGCACTACCACTAGATCTTCCAGTATTAGGAGTGATGAGTCGTTCACAATAACATCCCTCCAAAAAAATGACACCGGATGGTCTATTAGAATTTTCGTTTTCGTAATAAAAAAGTAAATTCTGATATAACACAAACCATCTCAGCTGCCACTTACTAGAATCGGTACTCTTTTTACACAAGTAACCTCTATAACCGTTATCGTGTAACGCCTTATCAGCTAAAGTTAAGAGCTGCGATTCATTAAGTCTAAGATTTCTCTGCATGTCGTCGATTCACTATTTAATAACAGTGGCTAAACAGTCTGACTAACCAAACGATTCCACCGTACCATTTCATTTGGCAACAGGTACGACCGACGACCTGTGCTGTGCTGTCTCTGCAACGTTCTGTCTCCAACTGCGAATCCACAGCACACACAACGCTCCACTCCAACCGGCTTCTGCTTGTTGCTTACAAGTAACGCATACTTGCACATCACACTGCAGCCGATACGCTCTCTCTCCCTCCTCTCTCTCTCTCTCTCCCTCCTTCTCTCTCTCTCGCTCTCGCTCCTCTTCATCTTCCTCCTCATCCACCTTCTTCCCCACTAACCTTAGCTATTAATTGTTTAAATATGCACTAACTTCGCTTATTGGAGCGAATTTTTTTAAGTGCATACCCCTTACACTCATTACCCAATTAATATTAATTAATAATTAAGTCGATAATTGTAATTATCTCGAAATAAAAATTAGAAAAAAAAAATCATATTTTCGAATGTCGAAATTTCACCGTGCATTGCCCGATTACTGAAAAATTTTAATCTATTTTTTAAGGAAATTTCCCTAAAAATACCTCTGCAATACTAATTGCTGCTTATTAAAATATTTTCTAAATTATTATTGTGTTTGTGTTTAATTTAATTAAAAGCGCGCGCATAACTACGTTATTTTGAAGTTATTTAGTAATTACGTAACCTTTAAATCGCATTTTTTTTGTATGTTTTCTGCGTGCTGAAAACTGTAAAATTTCGTCTGGATAAATTTCGGATAGTTTAATTTAACCTGAAATCGATACGGCTCAGTAATAAGGTTGCTGCAAGTTTTGCATGCAGGAAAAAAAATTGTAACATTTTACAGTAAAGTGCTGCTGTTATATAAATCATAGAAAGGTAAACGAAGATTTCAGTTTGCAGAAAAAGGTAAAAATCGAGAACCGGTGTCACCTGATCGATCAGTGTCACTATTGTTGACATGGAAACATAACCAGAAAATACAGGTATTTAATATAATCACCACCCATTTCTAGCAACGAGTAATGGTTTGTGAAGGATGTAAACTATAAATTTAACACAAGTGATGATTATCTTATGTCGTATGTGTTTCCTTGCTACGTTTCAACATCCATTACATTGCTGAAATGTATCCATTCTATACGATTTTACTCGGTATCGGGTTAGGGTCGGTCTAAGGAATATAATAATGTCGAATCATTCAAATTTTATACTTGAATATGTCCATTTCATTGTTTGCCAAACACAGGACATATTGAAATTTTTCTTCTTTTTTTTCGTAAAATATACTTTATACGGAAATAAAATATTTTAAAATAACTTCTTTCTTATTGTAACTAAATTATATTCGTGAAAAAAATCGTAAAAAAGTCATATTTTAACTTGTAAATATACGAATTTTATTTAACCAATTGCCGTGTGTTATTTAAATATTTAAAACTTAAATTTGAATTTAAAAATTTAAACTTCGTACCACGATTGGTTAATCGATGATAACGGATCGATGTTTGTTGTTTCTTTTTAAATTTGATTGGGTAATATTTAGATATCGATATTCTTTGTTTACTTTGTATAATAATTTTATAACTGAATTTTATATTTTATTAAAAAGAAGTATATACTTGGATCGGTGAAAGAATTTCATTTATTTCTAATCAATGAAAGTTCACATAATTACGCACTCACGTTCCCATCTATTGCTATCGAATTATTTGCTTGGATAATTTTACTGAATTCGTTCTACATCTAATATTATTTACTCGGAACTTTGAAGATTAAATTAAAATTACTCTTTAAAAGTTAAGATATTTATTAAAATTCGTTAAAATTTTAATAAAGATAATAATTACAAAAAAGAAAAAAAAAACCACGTTAAGGGGCGCTGTTAGCCGTTAATGAATTTAATGATGCCAGCCAGCATTTTGATAAACAAAACCATAAAATTAATAAAGCAAATAATTAAAACTGAATACATTTAAAAAGTTTGTATCATATAAATTAATTTTAAATCATAAAATTAAATAATATTGAAAACATTAACTATTTTCACCATTTATTGATATTACTTTTAAAAATCAATCTCCTGTTATTCATAATAAAACTTTTGTTAGCCCTTTCTTTTCTAAAAATCGAAAAAAAAAATTTAAAAATATGTTTTAAGATCGCTTGCAACGCTTGAAAATTTTAAGCCAGATTTTCTAAACTCCTTTCGGTTCACCAGCGAAACAAAAATATATTCAAGTTTTGATAGATTATTTTATATAAAGATAAAAAAAATACATATATGAAAAGTCAACTTTGAAATATTCCAAACACGTAATTCCTTATGACTTTTAACATTATAATGCATTGAATGGATAGAAAAGAATAACGCAAATAACAATTTTTATTTAAAATATAGGCATCACAAGCTATAAAATGGTATTTTTTATTTCTCCAAAAACTTATAATTCATTTTTTACATTTTTATAATATAAAATGATATGGTTATTAACCATACTTAATTATGTTTATTTTATTAAAGATAAATCAACAAAAATAAACTCAATTTTAACTATTGGAAACGATACTAAAATAATATTTATGTAGCGGAAAATATAATAACAAATGTATAAAAAAATAAATAATAATAACTCGCCATTTATTAAATATATTAAATTTAGATATATCAACAAATTTTTCTGTTTTACTGTTGAATATGATAATATTGAAACAAAACAGATGTTGAATTAAATTAAATTCGAAGAAATTCATGCTTAGAAAGTTTAAGTAATTAATTTTAATTATAAAAAATTAAATTATTTTAAATTAGTATAAGTGCTTTCTAAAATATATAAACAATGCAATAAATTTTAATTAATTTTTTAAATGTATAAATGCTTAAATTAACCTTTTAAAATTCCATATTTTATATACATACAAACTAAGCTTTTGAAGATTATAATTTATAAAAAGATGTAAACATTAAGCAGTTTTTACTGTTGAATAACATGTTTTATTCTATTTTCAGTTACTGTTTAGTATTTTATCAGAGTACTTTCTAACTTTGTGCTTCTTCAACATTTAAAAAAACTTAATTTGAATTTTTTTTTTAAGTTATATTCTCACTGAGATATTGTACTGCTAATTTACTACAAATGGGTCTCTATATTGTATGATAGCTGGAGTTTAAGCAGAACATTAAACAGTAGGGAAGTTCATTCTATTCCCATTAGGGGTCTGTTTATTGCAATTTTCTTTTGCCTTCACACGCCAGAGAAATTTCTCCTTCACTAGTTAAATATACGTCAATAGGACAAATTTTTTTACTTAATATTTTAAGATAGGAAAATTTATATATTTTTTCCGACCGAATTAAATAATTTACCGCTTTAACATCACCGGTAATGGTTCTTTACCTAACGTCATCCATCTTGTCTTTGAACTAACTGTCAATGCTAAGAATCGATTGATCTGCAGCTCCTTACACCTTTCTTCACCTGGATACCTGCACACGCGATCTACTTTACGTTTGTAAAATTATTTATATATGCTTTCGACCAGAACTAAAACATTATATTATACATTATTTTATTTAAAGAATGAAAAACTTGAATTTAATTGAGATGTAATCTTTAGTATTTTATCATTCTTCATTCGTATTCTCCCCTCTCTCTCTCTCTTTATATATATAGCAAACCAAATATAGACAGGAAGTCCTCTGTCAGGATTAAGCGGCTTGTATTGACAGTCGGAGATGTCTTGGTGAGACAAAACACTTTCACTACTGTCTCTATACAACAATTTTATATATATATATAAAGCGAATTACACGTTATCATAGACTGTTACGTAATTCTCCACACTTACATTGTAAAATTTGTAATAATTTCGCTGTATAAAGTACACACTTTTTATTTTTATATCTAAATAATTCACAGTTCCATCTACGTTACTATATTTTCACGAATAATCCTATGTTATATACTCAGCTCTTATGAAAGAAAGAGTAGAGTATTCTTCAATATATTGTAACTATATATAAACTATCTTGTGTTATATATATATATGTTTCTTATAACACGCAATGTATATGTAGATAAATACGTTGTAAATTTATCGAGAATAAGTAGAGATGTAAACATAATTGGTAATACAAAGCTAATTCTGATGAGAAATATAGAAAAATTCTATCATTCACATTTATAATTATTTAAATATTTTAATTAAAAGAGTTATATCATGTTTATTAACCATTGCTTATACAGAGATAAGCCTTAAAATATAAACACTAACAGGAGTTTTGTTATCTGTAGGATCTTATAAATATAGTCTATATATAAAACTTAAAATTATATAAATTTTGAAAGATGGTTGTTTCAATTAGAAAAATAATAGCAGATCACAGTTTTAAATGAAGTAGACAATTATAAATATATAAATAAAAATGCTAACAAAATTAGCACTTATAAGACAGGATTTTGGGGCAATCACAGATGTAATACTTTCCTCTCCCCGAAAGCCATAAAAATAAATAAAAAAAATTATCTAAATTGAAGTTTTTTTAAATATCATCATGTTTCTTCTCTATATAAAAAATAAATTTTACAGTCCTTCTCTGGATCTTGAGCTTGATCAAATGGCCCTGATGACACATCCCTATCTTGTCCTATATAAAAAAAATTTATATTATAAAAAATATTCAATTTAATCTTAAAGCATTTGTACAACTACATATATTTTTATAACAATAATAATTGTATATATTGTTAAAAGAAAAAAAAACTTTAATTGCTTACTTGTTATGGAACATATATTTGATTTTTATCTTTAATAAATAAATAAAAATTATTATTTTTAGTAAAATTTTAAAATTTACAGAATTTTTGGTTTGTTTTTTATTCTTTGAACTATGAATGTATTCCTTTTTTTAATGTTCTATTGTAGTGTAGCTTGAAAGAATTAAAATTAAACAAGATAAAAAAAAAACAGTTATAACAACAAAAAATAGAACATCTGTTCTGGTATTTCTAGAAAAGCAGAATGAAAACATGAGTTTATTATTTTTTTTAACTGGAATCTAGTTAATAGTTGAACCAAAATTCTGATATTTTTATCCACAGAAATGTACATTTAATAAATAAATTGTAAAACAGATTGTTTCCTTTAAGCTCATTTGAATATCTCCTCTTGATACAACATCACTAGGTTCAATAGTTTTACGTCACAAAGATTTAATTAATTTAGAAATAATTTTATTATAATAAATATCATTTAATAAAATAATAAATTTTATTATGATTTTTATCAGTGAAAATATAAAAATTACAAATGTATTAATTAGACTAAATCGAATNAACAAGTGACCCTTCATGAGATACAGCCCCCCGAAATTGGGTCATGCGATATCGTGACTTGCGTCGCTCTGCTAAGACTATTGTGTTTAACTATTTAGCCCATGTGACTATGCCAGCTTCGAGTAGCTCACTTGACTGTTCATGGAGTACTTGATGTTATATAGTTTTAGGGGGATGTGGGGGCTCCCCCACTCAGGCGCTGACTATTCATTGCTCACTATCACTCGCACCAAGTGATAATGATATTACAAGTTATATTTATAAAAAATGAAAATATAAAGTTCTCTTGCCATCTGTTGTGCAAATCGGATACTAACCTAATAGAAATATTCCCCTTTGCTCTTGGTTAGAATAACTTACTACACAGTTTCACTTCAGGCAATACTTCTGACTGCACTGAATAAATATAAGCGTCACACTTTTGACAGGATTGCAACCTTTTTTTTTTATTCTGTATAGAAATTTCATTTACTTCTAGTACTTTTATCTTTTTCGAGAGATTTTTTTTGTATTGTTGCAGATAAATATATTTCTTTTCTACTATTTATATTTCCAACATCGTTTCTATCGTTTTGCATTACGATACTGAAGAAACAGAATTAATTTAATTAATTAAAAAAAATTAAATTTAAAATACTGAAAATAGTAACGCGAAAGAAAATATCATTTTAAAATTTTAAATTAAATTTATTTATTAATATATATATGTA